TATGTTGAAGGACAGGTCCCACAAACTGTACCTAATTTTCATCATCATCATCTTCACAATCCCAATGTAATTTTCTCATTTCACTTATTCTCCTTCTTCTTCATTTTATGAATATTTTTCTCTCACGAAAATCGAATATTTGACGTATCTGAGATCTAGTAGCGCTTTATATCACTAGACCATCATTTTTTGTGTTTGAGATTTTTGTTATGTTAAAGTAAGACTTTTTGTTTTGTTAAGTTTCTGAAATTTATTACCAAAATATCTTTATTTACTAAAGAATGATTTAATTCATTAATGAATTGCAATTTTGGCAAACCATACATAAATGTAATTATTTACAAGATTAATGTTTTATAAAAAGGACAACATGGACTAGTATAGATTTTGTTCATAAGAGTTGGTGGTTGTGTGTTTTATTCATTTATTTGTGGGAAATGATAACATAGGGCAAGGGTTAAGATTAATTTTAGTTACAATTGATTTTATGATTGGTCATCTAAGTCTAAATTGATCATTTAAATATAAAATTGATGGGTGGATCCATTTCCATGATTTTGTCTTGAAAAATGATGTAGGTAAATACATTTAGAACTAGTAGATTCAATTTTTCAAAACAAGTTTTCCTTTATTGTATATATATGAATCAAAATGACCCTTTTTTTGTTTATTCACTTATGTTTTGTAGAATTGAATCTTTGTTTTTTTTTTTGTGAATGATCATTTTGATGTTATTAACTTCTTTTTATCTTAGGAAGGAGTGTGTTCTAAATAAGTATATTGAGAAAGAGAAATGAGTGGTAAGATTTATAGGAATATATGTTGTAGGAGAATGTCACAATTTTCATTTAGGCCATTCTGTTTTTCCTTTTCCTTTTTTTAGTGTCATTTCCTTATATTCTCAGTATAACCCTATGTTTATTGGAGAGGTGGGCATTGTTTAGAGTTGTATCGGTCATCATTACCCAATAAGTAGTTGAGAAAAGGCGGCCCAGTGGCACGAGCCTCCCACAAATTGGGATATTGGGATGATATATGTTTGCAGCCTTACCCTCATAAGCAGCGAAAAGGCTGCCTCCTGTATATGAACCCATGATCTTCATATCACAAGGCAGAGAAACTTATCGTTGCGCCGAGATCAGCCTCTGCCCGATAAATAGTTAACCATACAAAAATGTAGGTAAGTTAGTGGTTGAACTGAATATCTAGAGACAATGGAAGTTAATTGATCTTGAGTATGACTTCTCTCCATTAATGGAGAGACAAGTACCCAAAAAAATCAAAGAAAGTGAAAGATGCAGTGTCACTTTTGCCCTTCTTATTTAAAAGAAGATTACACCTCTACCCTTATAATGCCCATAAAAAATTCACTTGCCTCTCCATTAATGGAGAGGAGTCCTACTCATTGATCTTGGGCAGGATTTATGCATTAGTTCATAAATATATCTTGGATTGTGTGGGACCAATTGTTGGTGATATCGAATTGAGTGTTTGATCGTATTGGACCAATTGTTGGTGATATTAAATCGAGTGTTTGATCGTATTGGACGAATTGTTGGTGATATCAAATCGAGTGCTTGATGAAGTTAATTACTTGGTTTTGGGCAGGTTCCATGGGATGGTTGGGGCAGTGATGTTGGGAACACATGGACTGTTCCGGAAAGTTGTGGGGCTAACAAGATGAAGGTGAAAGAAGAAATGGGTTCGAAACTCGGGCAAAGAGAGGCAAGTGTGTTAAGATACAAAGAGAAGAGGCAAAGCAGACTCTTTTCGAAGAAGATCCGCTACGAAGTTCGCAAGCTCAATGCTGAGAAGAGGCCTAGGATGAAGGTACTATTCCATAACTATAACTATTCATTGCTACTAATCAATTACATAGCTATAAACTTCATGCATAAAATGTGCAAATATGAGTAATTGAAGAAAATAGTCATTCTTATCTGGCGGCACTCGAGCAAAGACATCGAAAATGTAAATTTTAGCCCTATTTTATCAAATTACTTCGAGAGCTCGTTTGGTCGACAAAATATGAGAAAGAAGATAGGACAATATGTCCTTTCCCGTTGCAATCTAGAGTTTAGAGCTAGATATGATAGCTTATCATGATGGTCTATCCTATCATGTTCACCATTGCGTTAGAAATCGACATGATAGGATGGTGCAGTTTTTTCCATCATACCTCACACTAGAACACCATTGCCATCACCACACTACCATCACCGTCACCACTACATCGACATCATAATTATTTGGCATGCACCGAACATTGGACATGATAAGAGTTCACCCTATCCTGGCCATCAAATGTGTCTTGACACTCTAATTTATATGGCATATGCTAGTTCTCATTAAAAGGGTATTGCATTTTTTCCTAAAGTTGTCTAACTACCCTTATTCTATAAATGTAAAGGAAAAAATTATACTGTATCAAAATCTAAATCATATAAAATTGATTTATATTCAAACTTCTACATTCAAGAGCTTAACCTTCATTAGGATGAATAGAAAGCTATATGTGTCACTTCCAACTTTCCTATAGATTATGAATAAATACTTGTTATTTTTAAAAAAAGGCACTCATGCTGTCATGCCGGACCAGGCGAAGGGTTACCTTTGACCCATAACTGAATGGCATCTTTTGGCCTATGATAACCGGAAAGAAGTTGAGGTAGGTGATGTGTTCTTACTTCCCAACATGTTCTAACTATAGTTACGGTGTGACCGGATGGAAGAAAATCTTGAGATAGACAAGTGGAATTGAAAAAAAAAATATGGTTTTAAGTAATCACTCCATTCCCTTCTTTTAGTCTTCCCCTATTTTGTTAGTCTAATGTGGTATGGGTACGGGTACATGGTTCACTTGGGATATAGTGAATTCGATACATGGTACTTAGGTTAAATGAGAGAATTATGTAACTATGATCAGGTGACTCATGCACAAGGTTGAGTATGCCGACAAGCTCTGTGCTCTCATGAGAAACTCTTCTAGCTTCATGTCCTAAAATCTTCCAAACTAAACACTTGCCAAACATGCAATGAGATAGTTCATTTCATCATAGGTTGCATTGCTACCGAAGTTTTTTATCCGATTCAAATGTCATTCCAGGATATTATATTAACGGCTAGACTTGTTTATATGTAATTGTCTCTAAGACTGCATAAAACATCTGAAATTTGTTATCATTTCTTCTCTATACATGTTGAATAATTACTTGCTTTATGTCGGTACATTTCGCAGGGAAGATTCGTCAAGAGAGGATGACAAGTATAGATTATGGTAGGCATTGTTTCGAATAAGATCGTCGTCGATATTACAGACATTTTCGTGCTTCTATTGTTGGTCGAGCTGGGGATTGAGTTTGTTGATAGAAATATTGTAGATATAATTATTCCATGTAAGAATCCCAATGGCAATGGTAATGAAGTCCATGCAAATTCTATGTTCTACTGCTATACTGATACAACATGCATATTAGTAGCAGTTTTGGACCTCAGATTTAGCTTGAGTTTCACAAAATCAAAGGTTGTGGAACTTAAAATGAAGTTTACGTGTCGGTTTATAAGTTAGTTTTTGGAAGAAGACTTAAATCAGAGTCATCTAAAATGTGTATTTTTTTAGCTCTTTAAGTGTCTGTATTCTTTCTATTATCCTCCGAAAATCGACTTGTGAACCGACCTTAGATGTTAAGGTGTTAGGCCTGGGGCCATCATCAACATGAACATTATGGTGGAGTGTGATGTATGACTACAACTCTGATTGCTATTTTTTCAATGAAAATAAAGCCAACAAAATGAATATTCTTGGTTATTCATCTATATTTGAAATAAAGTTAATCTTCCATGAATTCTCCATATAACTTCACATTTGGAATATTTGGTCACTAAAATTAAAGTTGTTTAGAATGATTCAGTTTTGAGTGTTAGAGTCATACTTGGATGCAAAGTTTTTTTCTTTATTTCTTTTAGTCAAACTTATACAACACATTGTCTCTAAATGATTATCCTCTCGAAAGTACCAAAAAAACAAAAAATATTTTTTTTCCAAATATGACGTATTAGATATATCTTTGTAGAAAGTCTAGAATGGAAAATATGGTTAAAATCAAATATGAGTTGGTTCAAGTAATTTATTATATAGATGTAAGTTATTATAAACGATAAGATAATAATGATAATAATAACTAACAATATAAACATAAACTATACATAAATTCAAATAAAATGAAATTAACTAAATCATAAATATGATTATACTCTATTAATACAAATATATGTAACACACCCCTCAAGCTAAAACTTAGAAAGCTTATTACAAAGAATTCATTTCAAAATTAAAATAATGAAACTAATTATAAGATTCCACAAAATCATTTGAAATGTGTTGTAATTGCAAAATATTTTGGTATAACTATCATGGAATGACTGATGAGAAAAGAATTCATTGGTAATAAGATTCACCATTGTTATAAAGTGAACCAATGGAATGATCGTTGTTGGAAAGAAAAACTATTAGTATAATCACTATGAGAATAAATGCGTCGATGAAAAAGAAGTTAATGCTCATATAATTCATCACTTGCAAGACATCATCGAAATGATCATGGGAAAGAAATAAATATATGAAAAAAGTATTTTGTATATTTGTTTATTTGGATGAGTTTTGCATTTAAAATGGACTATTAGGTTGAAGATAAAAAATGAATACTAACGATAAAATGACAAACCAAAGGGATGACTAATCGGAGTTCCAAATTTTCGGCATTTCAACAGTAGAATAATGACCAAAAAGGTCACGAAGGATAAAACCGCTCTAATATCATACAAGAAAAAATTAAACTAACCAAATCCTAAATAAAATCATACTCTTTATATATCCAAATATATCTAACACCAAATCCTAAATAAGATCATACTTTATATATATCAGAATATATCTAACGTTCTTCATATAAGTTTTTCTCATCAGTTTATATCAACTAAATACATTAATAATGCTGATGTTACACTTTAATTGGCAATTGCATGGGCATGATCCCTTGGCACATCCATGCATTAGACACTTTAGTTCATGAAAAACATAATAATTTCGTGAGACATGATTAATGATAGATAGGTTAATGATACATGATTAAATATAAATATTAATATATTTAAATAAAGCATGCTGCTTCTACTTTTGGATGTATTATATATATTTCATATATAATAATTTGATTTAAGATTATTAATATGCTAAAGGGCCAAGTAGTGATAGAGAGAGTCTTCCCAAAGTAGTGGGTTAAAATTCCACTTATAGCACATTTTGATTTTTTGTGCGTGTAAAATACAAAGGACTAAAATATCTCACCTTCAATGCTATTAATGAATAAAATGCTTGATTTCCTATGGTTTTTGGACCAACTGTTTAAAATATCTCACCATGTGTTGTTGTCTTATTGTGATAATGTAGTTAAAATGGAAATATGACATATATATATAACTTCATACTAATGTTAAAAATACTCATAATAATAAATAAGACAAATTCAAGTCATAAGGTAACCTATAAGTTATAGGGTTGAGATTCTCTACAATATTGGATGGTTCAGTACTGGAACGTGAGGCCCAAATTACTTTTAAACTTAAAAAATATATTTTAATTAAAAATAGTTTAAAATCTGCACCATTAAAAACTGTGAAATGTCACGTATCATCATCCTAATCTGTACTGGACCCTCTAGTACAGGAGAAGATCTAAGTTATAATAGCAAAATAACTTATCTAGTAAAAAAAAATAAAGTTTTATACGGCCACTATTCGGGTTTTAATTAAGTTTTTTTTATGAGTACAAAATGTAGGATTTTCAACAAATCAGATTGCATACCATGGCAGTTGGAATTGAAGCTCAACTTGCACAAACGCATAATGAGAAAGAGAGAGAATGTGAGAGATAGGTTCGAAGATAGAGTAAGAGAGATTTAAGAATGAGTGGGTATGTCGATTTCACCAGTTTTATGCACTCACATGATCCCACCCGATCCTATGAATGCATGTCTAAGAATGAGATTGAGCACGAAATGAAAGTCAAGGATCATAAGATCATGCGATCTAAAAAGTCGGATTACAATTTTGACTATCATGATTCTGGCACCACATGTTACCATGTTAAGGTGGTTGATTTATTAGCACACTACATGTGTCGGCAACTAAATGAAAATGACACCATCTAATATGTCTATTATTACAACGACCTCACATATTATATTTTCACTTTAAAATGCAACCGAATAATGAATACTATTCTTTGAAAAAATAAAATTTGGTTCATTTATCTAGTTTAATAGTTCATCAAGAACCAACTGAAGATAAAGTATAAAACTCTGTTTTTCTTAGTAAACCAGATTATACAATTTTCCCATGACTTTAATTTTTATTTCTCACTTAACTAGACCATACAACCCTTACTCATTCAATTTTTCAATAAAAAATTTAAATAAAAAATAATTTAGAGTTAAAATTACTAAAATAATAGACCTATTTTATTTGTTAGTTTTATTCATAAATTCATAATTTTTGTATTCAATATGCTTTATTGCTTAATAAAATATGTTTAGTTAGTTGTATAGAATTATTTAATAATAATATAAAATTATTTATTTAAAAATTGTATACGAATTTAGTTACTTTTCAACTATAAATATAGAACTCTAAATTTATTAATAAATTGTATGTTCTTTCGGGTACAATGACACCATGTGAGTATATCCCAAAACCAACATCACAACCCAATAACAAAAAAATTGTACATTAATTGTTAAGAAAATTGATGATAAATATTAAAATTTAAATGTCTACATTTGTCATATATTTATTAATAGAAACTATAAAAAATTACAACCTTAAGACATTTCAGTAAATTTCTATTATTGTATTTGATATATGTATGGAAAATATTTTGTAGACATAATCAAATTTATTTCGAGATATCTCCTATTTAAGAAGGATTGACCTTGAATTATCAACTATATGCTATTTTCAAGCCCACAAAAATGAAGTCTCAATGAAAAAACTAATTTATGGCTTAGTAGATATTAAAATATATGATAGTATCTTATATTATCTTTAAGAGAATATATCATATTATTTATTTAGAGTATCTTAGAAGATCTCTTAGGATAGAAATTACTTTATTTTATATTTTATAATTTATTTCTTATTTAATTAGGAGTCTGTTATTAGTATAAATAAATGTTAGCATTAGATCTTTTGTATCATCAAATTTAAGTGATGATAAATCAGTGATGACATTTTGTTTATTTTTTAATGAAACAAAAGACTTAATACTAACTTATATTTATACTAATAGCATACTCCTAATTAAATAAAATAAATTAATCTCTAAATAAATAATATGATATATTCTCTTAAGATATTTTGAGATAATATCGTATATTTTTTAATAATAGTCCAACTATTGTAACGACCCGAAATCTACCCTTGAAATTTTTTAATTTATTTTAATCCTTTCTTACATACAGTCGTCACCTTCATTAAAAACTCTCGAGTATCTCTCTTTGAAAATACTCTTTACCCTATTATATTATCATACAAATTTATGTTGCGGAAAAACATAATTCATTCAAATAGCATTTACCACATACAACCAGTTATGGGTCTCCCAAGGTTATAAAGCCCATAACTACACATATCCGTATTGATCTAAACGGATTTACAGTCATCCCATAATACTATTAAATCAACTACAACGTCACTTAGCAATACAGACAAGCGAGTAATTAAACACAAAAGCTTCCTAATTGAGCTTCATCCTCAAAGTCCTTCATTTACCTACAATGGGATTATCATAAACGACACACAAAACAAAAGGGAGTAAGTCATTAGTTTAAAAACTAACATCACATGATAATCCACATTTCAAATACGATTAAACTTTAATATAAATTATAAACGCAATTACGTAAATGCAAACATGCATCTCTTCTTTCGTTCATTTCTACGTTATCCATATTCATCCTATAGAATACATATCCCATAATATATATTCTATAGCATGCATGTTATGTTCATTCGAAGCATCGTTCTTCTCATTATTCATATCCACACTATAGTATATATATATCCCAAACTATATATCCTATAGCATGTATATTACTTTTATCCTTAACGTCTTCATTTCCAACATTCATATTCACCCTATAGTATATATATCCCATAATATATATCCTATAGCATGCATATGACTTTCGCTCTTAACGTCCTTGTTTCTCATATGTCGTATTCATCATTAATCGTATTCACCGAGTTCTTTCACACTATAATCTCCTACCACCTCGGGTAGATCAAATTACATCTCCATACCACATCGGGCAGGTCTAGTTCATCATCCATACCACATCGGGCAGGTCTAGTTCATCATCCATACCACATCGGGCAGGTCTAGTTCATCATCCATACCACATCGGGCAGGTCTAGTTCATCATCCATACCACATCGGGCAGGTCTACTGTTATATTCCATACCACATCGGGTATGTCTAGTTATACTCCATACCAAATCGGGCAGGTCTAGTTATACTCCATACCACATCGGGCAGGTCTAGTTATACTCCATACCACATCGGGTAGGTCTAGTATTATATTCCATACCACATCGGGTAGGTCTAGTGTTATGCTCCATACCACATCGGGTAGGTCTAGTGTTATGCTCCATACCACATCGGGTAGGTCTAGTGTTATGCTCCATACCACATCGGGTAGGTCTAGTGTTATGCTCCATACCACATCGGGTAGGTCTAGTGTTATACTCCATACCACATCGGGTAGGTCTAGTTATACTCCATACCACATCGGGTAGGTCTAGTATTATACTCCATACCACATCGGGTAGGTCTAGTGTTATGCTCCATACCACATCGGGTAGGTCTAGTGTTATACTCCATACCACATCGGGTAGGTCTAGTTATACTCCATACCACATCGGGTAGGTCTAGTATTATACTCCATACCACATCGGGTAGGTCTAGTGTTATGCTCCATACCACATCGGGTAGGTCTAGTGTTATACTCCATACCACATCGGGTAGGTCTAGTTCACAATTCTTCATTACCATTCCCGGTAGGATAACAATAACAGTCCACTACCACTCCGGGTAGGACACAACAACAGTCCGCTACCACTCCGGGTAGGACACGATAACAGTCCGCTACCATTTAAGGTAGGACACAATAACAGTCTACTACCACTCCGGGTAGGACACAACAAACAGTTCACTACCACTCCGGGTAGTACACAATAACAGTCAACCACTACCTCTTCGAGTAGGGTAACAACAATAAACCACTCCCTATTCGGGTAGGGTAACAACAATCAAACTTACAACACATTACCTCTTTCACATACCTCGTTCACATCACTGAGTATGAATTAGAGCCACTTATCCCTTACCTCGGTGAGCGTTGGAGATCAGTTTCGAGTAACTTTAAAAGTCTACTCCGCGATTTCCTCCAACCTTAGGATCTTTCCTCATTTCCACCAATAACAACAATGTTGGTCATTTATTCCAAATATCACATAAACAACTTACTTTGCATCATTTAATCATACAAGATATTCATCATATTTTCAATGTTGCTAAACTATTTTCATCATAAGTTTACAACCATCTAAAACATACATATTCATCTCATATTTCAACATTAGAACGTAAACTCATTTTCTACCTTTACCATTTTACCCATTTTCCACTTTAACCACATTATCCCTTTAGGGTTTTGGGGTTTTCATGAATCAACCCACAAACCTTTTCCATTCTCGAAATACTAACTCTAAACTAAGAATTTACAAGATAAAAACACATAAAACGAACCATAACTCCAAAGGATGAGTTTCCATGGTTTCTCACATTTGGAGAATAAATCCAACATACCCAAAACAAGTTAGAGAGGAAGAAGAAGAGTTAGTAACAAGAGGTTTACCTCTTCGCAAGCTCTAAGATGAGTCCTAAGGCTCCTTGCTCTTGAAAAGCTCCCTTCTCTCTCTTCTCTTCGAGTTCTAACCCTAAAATGTGTTTGGGGTTTCTATTTTTAAAGAGCAGTCGTCGGGTTCTCGCTCAAGCGAGCCAATTCTCGCTCAAGCGAGCCCATTCTCGCTCAAGCTAGCCCATTCTCGCTCAAGCGAGAATCTTACAGTAGCAATTTTTGCTTAACGCATAGATGTAATCGATTACATGGATTGTGTAATCGATTACATAGTGTAAAATGCACATATCTGATGCTTTTATCTGCATGTAATCGATTACATGTATTGTGTAATCGATTACATCATGCACATCTGATGCTTTTATCATCATGTAATCGATTACATGTATTGTGTAATCGATTACATCATGCACATCTGATGCTTTTATCAGCATGTAATCGATTACATGGATTGTGTAATCGATTACATCATGTAAAATGCACATATCTGATGCTTTTATCTGCATGTAATCGATTACATGGAATGTGTAATCGATTACATGGACTGTGTAATCGATTACACTGCCCAAAATTGCCATTTCTCACCCGGGTGATACAACTCTCGCTCAGGCGAGGATCCTCCAGTATAGCCCAAGATTTCACCCTCCCAGATGCACCTCTCTCGCTCAAGCGAGAATATCTGGATAAAGCGAGGCTTCCAGGACTGATACTCTAATTTTTAAAGACTAAAATTCGGGGTGTTACAACTATAACATGCAAAAATTATGTGTCTAATTTAATTATATAATAATATTATAATTTATTTATTAAAGAGCAAATTCTCGCATTAGATTTTTATTTTATGATAAAACAAATATAATAATATAGACCAAATTAATTTAAGATTATATCAACAATGTTAAGATAAAATGAGTAAAATAAATTTATTGTTATTCTTATGATTATTATAATATGTTAAGGTATTATTTGTATATAAATTATTCTATTTTATCATTATCATTATATGTTTATTTCCTTATATAATTCATAT